TGGGTCTCTATTCGGGACAAAGACCCCAATTTCCCGACCACCTGAACCCCCAATTCAGCTCAGGGCTGACAAGGTCCAGCCTTGGGGAGCCCCTTTCCCCAGCTGCGTAGTGGGGACACAGGACTTTGGCAGGGGTGAACCCCATAGGCACGGGGTCAGTATCACTGAAACTTAGCGTGAAGGAGAAATCTGAGATAACAAATAAAATCCCCTTGACAGTTGAGTCATGCGGGACTTACGCACTTGTAAACTGCTCAACTGCCTGCCTGCCGCCTCTTCCCCCCAACATTCATCATGCTGCGGTGGAGGTGACACCAAAAGCAGAGCACAAACCCCTCTGCTCTCTCTCACTCTCTTAATTTTGTGCTAGATTTGTTGGATTATTTTTTTTCTTTTCTTTTCTCTCTTCTTTTTCAGCAACCCCCAACCCAGCTGGAGATGAGTGAACCACGTTACAGTACAGAAACAAACACTATCACAAACCCTGCTCACGAGTGCGGTGTCTCTGCCCTCCCCCAAGGGAGATGATGCCCCTGAAGGACTTGTGTGCCACCAGCAGAGGCCCACCCCATCGGAGCAGAGATGTTGTCCCGAGCCCTCCAGTCCCAGCTCTCCAGAGAGCCTGAGCTAAAGGACATTGAGTTTTCTTGAGCATGTTAAGTTACTATGGACCAAGTCCCACATTTGGAGCAAGTCTGGAGGCAGCAGTTTATGAACCACCAACATACTCCGGAAAAAACACGGCTCCTTGTTCATCTTGCTGTTCTTGTTCTTCACGATGCCAAAGGTTTTGAAGCCCTCGTGCCCAACGGGTGATACTTTAAGGACCTCTAAGCACATCCCTAGGAAGACGTCATCGATGGGGTACAGCTCCAGCGTTTCCGAGGTCTTGTGCAGCCTCTTGGCCAGGGGTCCGTCCATGATGAAGCCCCCTCCACCCGCATAGGGTGGGTAGTTGCTCTTGTTGTAGAGGGCGCTGGGGATGTAGTACTTGTTCTCCTTCTTCCGGATCGGCTTGGCCTTGTAGAGGACGTCCCCCACAAAGAGGTTGTCTCCCTCCTTCTTGTCCTCCAGGAACTCCAGGATGTTGCTGGGGCTCACGAAGACGTCGTCGTCACCTTTGAAGATGAAGCGGACGTTGTCGCAGTAGATGTTCAGCCACTTCAGGAAATGGACCTCTTTGAGGGTGAGGTTGAAGAAGCTGTCCAGGAAATCCCACTGCAAGATGTCCCCGTAGATGTGGTTCTCGTAATCCAGCAGTTTCTGGTAGTTGGCTCGCTCCTCCTCCTTGGAGGCCGTGCCCAGCAAGAACAGCGTCCTGATCCTCTTGCCCTCCACCTCCTTCTCCTGGCCCCAGGTCCTCCGGATGGCCTCGCGCCGGTCGTGCTGCGTGATGATGGACTTGACCACGATGAGCAGGTAGACGTCCCCGCTGCATTTCTCGGGGTGGTTGATCAGCATGGGGAAGTAGCGGCAGTGCCGATAGAGTAGGAACTGCTGGAAGTTGGGCTCCAGCCCTTTGAACCAGTCCACCTTGCTGAAGTTCTGGTTGGCCGAGCAGTTGGTAGTGGTGACATCCCAGGATTTCGCCTGCTTTGCCGTCACGCTCGCCGTCTCCTTCACAGGAGCTTTCTCCTTCTTGCTCTTCCAGAAAGTGCTGGTGATGGAGAAGGCGTTGTCTCTCTTCTGCGTTTTGAGGGGCTCCGCAGGGGGCAGCTCTTTCTGCTGCTGGCCCTGCATGAACTGACTGGGGGCCATTCCCCGCTGCAGCACCGTCACCGTGATCACCAGCAAGAAGGAGAGGCAAACCGTTTTGTAGATGGTCTTCTTCCTACAAGAATGAGACAGGGGGTTAAGGAGAGGAAACTGCAGGGTCATCTGTAAAAGCATCTCCTGTAGGGGTCATGGGAGGCCCATAAATCTGTGTCTTGTCACCTCCTGACAGGCAGCAGGTCTGTGGGAAACCTCCGTTTCAGCCATCTGGAAATGGCAGTTTAGGACAAGAGCAGAAGAGAATTGTCTTTTCCACTGAAACATCAGCCCCAAAACCACGACGCACTGCCCATGGCCCTAGACTGGCATCACAGGTTACACAACACCGAGAAACTGGAGCTGAGGAGACCACGGGAGTCGACACGAAACAGGCATCGCCGTTGCGCTTCAAAATGGCAAAAAAAAACCTGCCATTTGAGACAGATTTGAGGTTTGGTAGGGAAAAGACGTCCTTAACTCTGCATCTGCCTCAGGAAGCAGCATTTCTGGGGCACTGCTGGGCGTTTTGGCTGGCTCGCAGGACCCATCGCTTTGCTTCACAATTAGAAGGATCAGGACAGTTGATGGGGATTTGCACCACTGCAGGGCTCAAATCTGGGGGCACATTTTTCCCAGCCTGCAGCAAATCAGATCTCTGCATGTGTGGGGAACTGCAATGACTGGAAGATCAAACCCAGCCCCTTGCGGGGCCATCCCACGTCCCCACTGCGGTCCCATACCCCCTGGATCCAGGCAAACCCTGGAGCTCAACAGGGAATTAAGAGGGAGCCTCCTGGGGTCCTTGGGACAGCGAGAAGGCTGCATCCAGGGATTACTGATGGATTAAATACCCCCAATCTGCTTCTCCACACAGGTAATTTCTCACCCTGCTGCTGTGGAGGAGCTGCCCGCTCTGCCTGTCTGCCCCGTGTCATCCCTGTCACCCTCCCCTCCACAGCTGGCACATCTGCACCAATGTCTCCCTGCGACCTCGGGCCATCTCCCTGCGCTGGGCATGGGCTGGCAGCTGGGCTCCACATGTCCACCACCTCCAGCAAAGAAGCCCGGGGCTGAAATCTGAAACATTTAACCCACGCAATTTCCAGATAGCAAAAAAAAAAGAAAAAAAGCCTTCAAATTCCTGTCCCCAGGGGCTGGATCATGACCAGCACAGCCAGGAAGATGCTGGGGTTTTGGGCAACAGGCTGCACCAAAGGTGGGACACGCCGATACCCCTCGGGCTCCCCAGGGCAAGGGACAGTATTGTGTGTGGGGACTCCAGCCACCCCGAAATGCAGGAGCCCCAAACAGGACCCGGAGACCACGGAGCTTCTGCCTGCAGCTTTGCCCTCCAGCATAAAGAACTTTTCTGCCCTGCGTTTACGTGGGAAAACTGGGATCAGAGCGTGGGCTGTGAGAGCCAGCGTGGAAATAAGTAATTATGGGTAAATGGATAGATATTCCCTGCTGGTTTTATATGTGGCCACTCATCTGCGACTGATGAGGGAGCAGCTCTGATTAGATCTCACCATTCCTTAACCCTCTCCAGCCCTGCTCACGCTGCCCTGAGGTTGTTCTTAGGAACCCTCTGGTCCGATTCAGTGGCAGCTTTAACCCCAAGCAATAATTAAATCCTCTCGTTAATCCCTGGCACTGCAGCAAAATTAACACCGGGCACCCCTGTGTAGTGACCCCCATTGCACCAACCCCATCCTGACACCTCAGCCTTGCTCCCATCCCACCCCTTCCAACCCTTGCCCCTGAGGACGTGACAAAATACCCAGCCTGAAGGCCGGCCCCAGGCTCTCCAGAAGCCATGGGCAGGGAATTACTGATACATTTTTTTTTAATTTGCATAGGTAGGGCTGTCGCTAACTGGCACGGATGGGTCCTCCCCTTGGCAGGCTCTGCCTGCCATAGACAGAGCTGCTTGCCCCGTTACCCTCTTGGTGTCACCGCTCGTTATTGCTGCCCTGGGGTGCGGGGAGGCTCCATCTTTCAGTAAGAGGTGCAGGTGAGGTGTTGCACAACAGCACAGAAACTTATTCCTCCTTCCTTCAGCGGACATCGTCTCCCAGCTCTCACTGGTGCAACGTGCAATTTTTGTTTTGTTAAAAAAAAACTATTTGGGATTTTTTCTATAGGTCTGATTTTGCAAACCCCAGGGGAAGCACCGAGCCCCGCGGCCGCCTTCTGCCCCATAAAAATCCTGTCCCCGTACTGGCAAGAAAATGATGGGGACTGGGGTGACACTGAGCCACAACCGCAGGCGATTCCCACATCAAACCAAGGCTTTTGGGGGGCAAAAGAGTGACAATCATGGTCTCCTCAGCTGGGAATTACTTTGGAGGGGAGCACCCAGGTCCTGGTCTCTGCAGACCCCAAGAACCCCCACTTCGCAGGACGTGAGGGTGAGGGATGAGCTTTGGGTTCACTTCCATCACAGAGAAATCACCCAGAGAGGAACAACCCCCAGAGTGTGCTCGGCAACATCCCCAAAAACCTGGGGCCACCTTCTAACCACTGATGTCGGTGCCATGAGGGAGCTTTGAAAGGGTCCCAACCCGCTCCTCCTCTTATCTTTTCCCCACCAGGAAAAGCTCAAAAGCCTCCCTGTGAGACGGCCGCGTCACAGCGGTTAAATATAAACCCCAAATTAGAGGTGGGCAGCTTCCCTTTCAGGTGGCGATGCTGTGGGGCAGGCAAGGCCCCCGGAGATGGGGACTCTCCAGCCCCGGTCCCCGGAGAGGCACACAGCCACTTTTGATCCGCATGAAAACCCCTTTGATCGGCCAGAGCTAGCTATTTGTTTGGAGTTTTCTGCCCCTCAATTAGACCCAGTCACAGAGCCGGGATAGAGCCCTTTTTGTTGGCGGTGCCGAGGGTTTGGGACAGGGGATCCTCTCTAGGAGCAGATGCCGGGCATAAAGCACCCAAATTTCTCCAAAAGCAGCCCACGCCGGCTGGGTGCAAGCCGGGCCCCAGCTCACGACAGTTGTCCCCAATCCCGAGGTGTCTGAGGACACGTCCCGCTTAAGAAGAGCTGGGACCCC